CTTGATAGAACTCCAGCTATGACCAAAGCAGAGATCATTCCGTTTGTGTGAGTTTTCAAATGAAGTCAATCCAATGTTTTTGGTTTCTTCTAGAAGGTTGTTTTACATGCTAAATTTCATAATGTATCCCCAGATTGCCATTCCTGGTGATGTCCATCGCTTCCGTCCTCCTCTGCTTCTATCTTATATTAAAAAAGAAACAACAGGAAAGTGACCTCAGTATGCAGATGCAAGAACAACCAGTTTCCTCGTCGGGGGATCAGGTGGAACAGGACGCRTGTTTCAACCAGTTCCCTCCTCCCTACAGCACCGTGGATCACCCTCCACCTTACTCACTGGTGAGGGAAGACAGCTGAAGTCACTTTGTACCCATTTGAGCTCCATCTGTATCGTTTACAGTTTTTATTTTATTTTTGGAGCAAGTAAGTGCAAGATTTTTTAAATGCGATGAAAATAATTTATATTAGGGAAACAATTAAATAAGGGTACTTTAAAAGAATGGTTCAGACCTTTTGAAGCGGGGTCCTGTTRAAAGGCTGTGATCGGTTAATACCTTACCTGTTGTAGATAACTCTTGGAACAACCTCACATTGAAAAAATAGAGCTTCTTTCTGACCAGATTTATTTTATTTTTGTAACAAGTCTCYACTGATCATCTCTTCTTCTAGGAAATCCTAGTCAAGATGGCAGTGTAGCTACAGACCAGTGTAGCTACAGACTGCTTACTGTGAGCATCATCCTGTTAAAATTTTAGTATAAGAATATCAGTATGAAAATAATTATACATAAAAATAAAAAAAAAATTAAAGAATCAAGATTTAAATACAAAGATAACAAATCACCATATCAGCTAAATTCCATGTTTTGTGAAAGGAAACCAAAACACTTGAAAATTTGTTGCATTGATTAGCTAATGGCTAGTCAGCCAGTCTGTTCAAATCTACCAAATGACTCATGTAATGTAAACTGGCAGCGGTGGGTGGAAATAAATATAAAAAAGAATTTGTATGAACTAATATAACATTTTTGAGATCCACTTTGGTCTTGGCTCTGCTTGGAACAGAATTAAACGATTGTCTCTCTAAATGAGGTAGTGCAAAGGGCTATCGACAGCAGGTAAGATATTAATTGTTCACAAACTTTTTCTACAGAGCCCCACTTTAAAAGATCTGAATCACTGATTAAAATACTGTAAAATTGCCAATTTTACATAAACGTGTCTGGATTAAATGTGTTCTTTTTTTACACAGTATTTAAATCCAACTTCCTATAACAAAACTGCTGTTGCTCATTTTAAGTTGTCGGGTAACTTTTGGCTTTACTGACCAGCAGACCAAAACTTAAGGCTGAACTTAGATATGAGCAATTCAACCAGCAGCCCGTGACTTCAGTCAGGCCTGCCAATGAGTTCTTTAAAAATTTATCATTTTATTTTTTTTTTACTTCATTTAATATTAAAATAGGTTTTACCGCAGGTTTAAATGTCTGATCCAATGCAGGAAAATAAACTAAATTAAAATGTAGAAGATAATCATACTTGTTCTTTTACACGAGCAGTGTTTCCTCTACCATTACGGTGTAACGCTGTGAGTTGTGGCACCCTGAGTAATTTAGTTGAACAGTTGAGACAAAATGTCTCAGAATGAATTTTTAAAATAATTTAGTCAGGGTTTTCTCTAAAAATTGTTTTCCTTTCGTTTGAGGACACTGGGGGTTGCATGAAGACAATCCAGAAGTCACTTCTATCCCTTCAAACTTTTTTATAGACAAGGTTTAAATGAATGAGGGGGGAATATGTTTGATTTTGAAACCTAAAAATAGGCGCGCTCAAACTTTGGACCAATCCTGAACATTTACCATTACTTTAAATCAGAAGTGTGCTGTCCACACAATCATTTGTACTGCTATTATTCATTGTCAGTACTCATCTGAACAATCATTTGCACTACTACTCATTTATATTATTATTAATGTGAGCAATCACTTGCTCTGTTATTATCCATTTTAAACTTTTAAATATTTCTGCTGTAATTGCACATCTGTGTTTCTTCTCTGCACTGATACTTTACAGTTAATAGTCAGTTGAGATTGTTTTGCACTAAAATTAGGCAATTCCTGCAGGGGTGTCACTAGGTTTTAAGGACAAGGGGGGGTTTAGCCCCCAGGAGACGCACAGAATTTTTGTATATTATATAGTTGTATTGTGTGTGTGTG